AGAAAGCCACGGGACTTCTGGCTCAGAGCACCGCTTTGCATCTTGTCTTGCATAAATTTGCATACCGAGTTCAAACATGGTAAAATAGACTCTCGAATGAGTGGGACTCCCTGTCTCTGCTGATTCTTAGCACCACCTTCCACCTCCTTGCCCCTGTTCTGGACAGAACTTACCCAGGCTGGCTAAGTAGCTGCACTCCGCTGAGGGCGAGGCACGGACTAAGGCCACTCACGGCTCTAGGACGGATGAGGACCCCTGGAGTTGGCTGGTTTAGGACCTGTGCAGGGTGTGGCTCTGGGTACCAAGGCGTGAGAGTCAGGGCAGTGCAGGGGCCCGGGGAGGCACATACTGTGGCCTTGGCCTGCCTTGGTCCAGGGGCTGGGATTGGAAGCTGCTTCGATGTCCAGTCTTTGTTTCAGGTTCATTCCCCGCCTTTTAACAAATGTCAGCAATGTTCCCTGCATGGTTTCCTTTGTGTGGCAATGATGACCCAGTTCCTTAAGAGAAAGCCTGAAGAAGGACAAATCGGTGGGCTGGCAGAGATGGCTGAGTGGGTAGCAAAGGTGTTAGTGTGGCAACCTGAACTTGGTCCCTGGAACCCCTGTTAAGGTGGAAGGAGAGAACCTACTCCATGAATGTCCTCTGACCTTCATACGTGTGCCATGCATGTGGGCCCAGCCTCCCACATACACAATAACAACAAATAATAAAATTTCTTAAAAAAGAAAAACTTGGCGCTTTTAATCCCAGAGGCAGAGAGGGAGGCAGAGGCAGAGGTGGATCTCTGTGAGTTTGAGGCCAGCCTGATCTACAGAATTGAGTTCCAGGACAGCCAGGGCAACACAGTGAAACCCTGTCTCAAAAAACCAAAAAACCAACCAACCAACCAACCAACCAACCAACCAACCAACCAACAATAACAAAAAAAAAAAAAAAAAAAAAAAACCCTCAAAAAACAAAACAACAAAAAACCAAAACAAAACAAAACAAAACAACCCACAAACAAAGCAGAAACCTCTTGTAAATGTTTCAAACTTAAAAAGCACTTTAACAAAATAGAGCTAAGGATGCTCTGAGTTAGAACAGGTAGGAGAATTAGGAGAAGCCACCCACTGGCTGTGTTTATGGAAGGCTTCTCTATGAAGGGGCTCTCGGCCACCTATTGAGTTTGCTAGGGAGCCAAAGGAAGAGGGAGGCTGGGATGGCTCTCGCTGCCAGTCTACCTTAGCGGTACATCTTAGAACATTTCCTGACGATGAGGGTGGGGGGAGGCATCTCAGAGTAACCCTATAAAAGCACTCTGGGGCTGCGGAGATGACTCAGCTGATAAATAAAAACACCCTGCCATGCAAGCCTGGTGACTTGAGTTCAATCCTCAGAACCTAGCGTGGAAGGAGAGAACCAATCCCTTCCAATTGTCCTCTGACTTCTAGAGCCGTGCAGTGGCATGATAGTAGTAATTATAATAATAAGTATCACAGATTGCTCGGAAGCAGGGGTCCATCCCCCCAGCCTCAGACATTTGAGGGCTTACTCGGAGAGGTCTCAGCATCAGATGAGCGTGGCCCTTCACTGTTTTAAAAAGTCAGATGGACTGCCATCAGGACTACCCTGCTAATGGAATGGAGAAGAGGGTAAATCACACCTGGAAGGTAGGGCCAGGGCCCGCAGAAGGGATTGGAGGAGGGGCAGACACCTTTAGTTCACTGGTTGGGTCTCAGTGCTGCAACTGTCTGCCACTGTGGCTGCATTTAGTGTTTGCCTTCTCCGTTTTCAGCTCTTTCTTGCCTCTATCCTGACCTCGAAGTCTCTGTAGCTCCCTCCCCCGCCCAGACACACACATGGTTGCCTCTTCCTGTGCCTTTTTCCACTGTGGGCCCAGCTGGAATCCTTGACTACATGGTAAGTAGGTGGACAGTGTTCAGAACAAGCAGCATGGATAAAATCTATTGGTCCCAGCCTTCTTCAGCTCCAATCAGAGGGAGGCCTGGAAGGTGACTGTAGACCGGAACGTTGAACAAAACGCAGATTCTGGAATGAAAAAGGCTGGCTGAGTGTCAAGGAGCAGGCAGGGGCTGGGTCAGAGAATGAGACTTCCATAGACAAGGGACGTGGCGCTTTGCTCGTAAGGCCGAGTCCTGCTGCATTTGCTTAAGTGGAGGCAGAGAGGAGAGAGTTACAGATGTTTCACTAGGGAGCCTGAGATCTGGCTGGCAGATGTTCCAGCCCCCTCGGTTTCTCTTTGTTATCTCTGGCCGGCGTTTTCCTGTGGTGGCCGGCAGCCATCCAAAGATGGGTCAGCCCCTCTTGTGTCCTTGTCCTATTTTGAAATGACTGCTTGCTTTGGGCCCAGTTTTCCTCCATCCCCCCTAGGGGAGGGAAGTTTTGTCCCTCTCCCCCTCCCGCTCCAGACAGAATTTATCCTGTATAGCCCTGGCCATCCTGGAACTTGCTCTGTAGATCAGACTGGCCTCAAACTCAGAGATCTGCCTGCCTCTGCCACCTGAGTGCTGGGATTAAATGCCGTCACCACCCAGCTAGGAAGGGAGCTTTTTGTACTTCCATCCTAGGTGCCTACATGGGCTCAGTATTAGCATAAGAGCTAAGGGTTTTTGCTGGCTTCCTGCTGCTGAACCCTTTTTACCTCTGTGCTCCAGTCAGGGTTGAGCTATTGGTGGAAAAATACTTTTGAGCCTATGGGCCAGAGGTTTTGTTCCTGGATACCTGTTGCATCTGGGTGACGGTTAGGTCATGGTACACCCCTGTTAGCTTTGGTGAGGGAGAGGACACCACAAAAACATAAGGGGCCGGCATGTGAGATGGAGTGGGAAGATGAAGACAGAAGTCACACACTCTGGAGAGGAAGGACTATGTAGTCAAGAGTTTATGGGGGAAGTAGCCCGGCTTGCGCTTTTAAACTAACCTGGTCCCAGTGCAGACACCGTATCTAGCAGCCTGTGTGGTGGGCTGGATTTGATGGCATGTGTCTCTGGAATCTCAGCACTTGGGAGACAGAGGCAGGGTCAGTCAAGAGCAGAGAATAGTCTGGACTACATTGTGAGTTCCACAACCCAAACAAAACCACAAAACAAAACTCATGGTGAGCACGGGCCTTTCTCAGAAAACAGGTTTGGTAAAGGAGGGATAATCTTTATTTCTTTCAAGGCATGTACATTAGGCTAGTGGTGGGAAGTGTCACACACAATAGTTGTGTGTCTTAACCAAACTAGTTGTCATACACATTAGCTGACTTCATCTTCACCAGTGACATCTTTGCTGTTTTGGTAGCTGGCCCTTCCAATGAAGGCCAGTCTGGACAAATCAGGTGGGCTGCTCATTTCTTTAGGACCCAATCCCACATGTCAACTGTGCATTCAGATGTGAGATGTCTAGTCTCTTTGAACCTCCATTTTTCTTTCTTGCGTGTCTATAAATCAGAAATTGGTGATGCTCATGACTCAACTGAGTTACATTTGCATGGACATATGTCAAAGTAGCTAACACAGCTAGGCAGGTAGTTTATGCTTATCATCTTAGGGAGGCTGAAGCAGGAGGGTTGTCATACTAAGCTTGGAGTCTCAAAACAGAATGTTTTAGCTACTTTTCTGGTGGTTGTGATGAAATTTCCTGACAATGGCAGCTAGAGGAAGGCAGAGTTTATTCTGGCTCAGAGTTCAAGGACGCAGTCCATCATGGAGGGGAGGTCATGGCACCAGGGGTACAGCATGCAGGAAGCACAGGATAAATACTTCTCCTCTGCTTGCTTTCTCCTATTACGCAGTTAAGGACCCTAGCCTAGGGAATGGTGCCACCCGCAGTGGGCAGGTTTTTCCATGTCAATTAAGTTGACTGAGGTAACACCCCTCAGGCGCACCTAGAAGCCCATCATCTCTCATTTGATTGTAGAACTCAATGAGTTGACAAACAAGATTAGCTATTCCATAAAACAAGATAAAAAAAATCAACAACAACAAAGTAGATAATATATGTAATGCTCAGTGCTTGCTGTCTTGTGGGGGTGTCACATGATGCCTACCTCTTTACCTATAAAAGGAAGAAGTCCATCTTTCTCTGACCTATGTCCATTGAGCTTTAGAGAATCCTTTTGTGGAAGAGGTAATGAAACTACACTTCAGTGCAATACAAAACCAGCTGAGAAGAAATGGTTTGCATTTCTTATGAATGAGTTAGGCTTTTTGAGTGCATTTTGGGGCCCATGTCCAAATTTCTGGGGCTGACCATTCCAGGGCTGTAGTTCACACTTGACAGTGCTCAGAGTAAAAACCAGAGCGACTGAGATGACCCTAGAGCTGGGACCCTTGGGTTCTTGTGCCAGCTTTCCTATTCATTTGGCTTATGACAAAGGATGGAGACCTGCCTGCCTTCACCGGGCAGCCAACCTAGGGACTGAGCCTTCCAGAGCCTTCCAGAGTTTGGGAAGACAGGAGAATACCTGAGGTGTCACTGGACAAGGATGGTCTTGGTGGGAAGCCCTTTCTCTGTTCCAGGAAGCTGGCTGGACACAGGCTTCAGAACAGTGGGGTCACATACTAACACAAGTGCTCCACACACTTCGCACATGGAGGTGTGTGTGTCCAGGGGCACCCAGTGAAGACCCCAGAGATCCCCCCTTTTTGTTCCAGGGAAACAGAAGTTTTCAGGTCTGGTGTCTCTGAGCCTAGGGTGCCAGGGGTTAGAGCATGACCCTGGCAAAGAATTTGGATGTTCTCTCCAGGACAATGTTTTCTTACTATGTGGTCTCCAGAGCTGACCTCACTGCTTTGATGGGGCTGCTGCCGGTCAGTTTCAGGAAGGAGTGATCCTCAGGGCCATGCTGGCCTGGGCAGGGTTTTCTGAGTACTGGGGGCTTGCCTAATGTGTGAGGAATCTGGGACCCTAGAAAGTCCTCTCTTGAGAGGTAGCCTTTATGTGCTCAGTGACAACTATTTTTAGGCATCTAATTGAGGTGGGACCCTAGGCAAGTAGGGGTGGTGAGAATATATATATATATATATATATATATATATATATTTAGGCTGGAACCCAAGACCCTGGGGAATCTGGGGTGAATTAGACCCTGAGGTCCTTCATGGTAGGGATGGGAAGGTGAAGCCCCTTTAGTGATGAGTTGTGAGACCAAGGATATGTGTGGGGCTTTTGTTTTCTCCAGTCGCTCCTTCCACAATGAGCCGAATGAGGGATTTTTCCCCCCCTTTTTCTCTAGTGGAGAATGGACCATCCTCCATCCCCTCCTCCTCCTTGGCTCCTACCCCCCTCCCCTTCTGTTCCTTAACAAAGCCAAGGAAGATCTGGGCTGCCTCAGCCTGGGTGTCAGTCAGGACTCAGAGGGAGACCTTGCTCAGAGAGCTGGCTTTCCGGGAGAGAAGTACAGTCCACTA